TACATTTTGAAATCTCTCTCTCGTGTGGGTGGGTGGGTGGGTGGGTGGGGGGGAGGAGTCTTATTGCTACAGCAATTACTATCTACTATGTTGACCAAATGTCACATTTTAACACTTAAAACTAGCATTAATGCATCAGTATAAATATCCAGAACACTTGGGACTACACTGAGTAACTGAACTCAAAATTGGGCTGTGGTAGTCATTAAAAATGTGCCAACTAATACCTTATTCTGTCCTTGATATTGTAAGGAAGGAGCAGGAATATGAGTCAGGATTAATACACAAACCAGTTCATTTGCATGAATGTTTGCTCCAGCCACTAATGGTATATTTATTTGTATTACTACAACACAAAGGATGGACACATCTGAAAAGCTTGGTGTCTTGGTTTTTTTAAAAAACAGGTTGTGTCCTGGTTGTGTTTTAATTGTGCTTTTAATATATTTGGCTTTAAGTTTTTAACTGTATTCTGTTTTTAACTGTATTTTGCTACTGTTTGTCACCAAGAATGCAAGACTGAATAAATAAATAAAAGAACTGTGAGAGAATTTAGTTCTCTCACTCTCTGGGGAAAATATAGTCTAACACTGCTGAAAAGGCAGATTTCTATTTTAAATGTGTTGGTTCATCATTTTTAAATAAGGCTGTTATTAAGGTTCTAACAAAAAGGGAATTTGGGTGGGGTGGATTGGGGGCATCCAACTGAAAGGAATCTACGGGTGCACTGAGAGGTGGCTTATCACATGCCAGAGGGAGTCCCATCACTTGAGGCTACAGCAGCCCAAAGGACTTTTAGGGTTTACTGCATGCCTCAATGCAGAAGTGGGCATCTAGGGTTGGATTGGTCAAGAGAACACACATATCCCATTATCCTGACCCTGAATGCAGTGTCAGAACTACAGATGGACAAACTTGTCAATGTTAGTTTTTTATTTTCCCAATCTTAAATGGATTCATTTCACTTAAATGGATTCAATTCTCAAACACTGAGAATTTTTTAAAGTTTGCATAAACATTCAGAAGAATTTTCATGCACATTTCTCCCACTACATGTATTTTGTATGCATTTTTGCCTAATATACATATTTTGCAAACAGTAGTCTTAATATAATGCATTTTAATGTTATTTCCCCTAATACATCTTTGCACTCATTTGGAATGGGGAATATCATTGCAAAATGTGGACATGTACAAATTACAAAGGATAACTGAATTCTAGTTTGCACAGAGGCTTGGCAGTGCAAAATTAGGTAAATGAGCATCAATGTGCAAAGTGAGCTTGTTTCTTCCATAACCTTACAAGTGACCCACAGATTGGTCATCATCTCTATGTGACTTTGGCAGTGTGCAAGGACAGCCCAATACACATCATGCATGCTGCAAAAAGGGTTGATTGCCCTTATCCACCCAGTGCAGACCAATTATTTTATTGGTGCATGCCAGTATTCTAGAAGCCTCTAGGCAAGCATAGCGCAACGTACGTCTAGTATGTGCCACATTTCATCTTGGTGTTTTCTCCTGCAGTTGCCCAGAGAAATTACTCCCCATCCCGTGCTCTGTTCTATGTAATTCTCTTGGTTGGGTCTCCCTACTTGAAAATTGTTATGCAGATAAGATTGAAGGGCTATCATCACTTACTCCGGCTATATGCACTCTGGCAGATATAGGTAGCATTCTGCACTGCAGTGTCCCAGAGTAAGCCTCCACAGCTCTATGACCTATTATATAAATTTAATGAGGCTGACAAAGGTTGTGCTTAGGCATGAGAGCTCAGTCTGGTGGAAAAAGCACACTGGGGAGATGGTAGGCTTCATAAATTTGATAGTCTCCACACGGACTGGAATGCTGGAATATGTCACAATATCAGGATTTATATTGCCCTCCACCAACATCAGCAGGGCGAGGGATTCACCACAGAGCCTCTCCTCTTTGCTTTTACTGACATTTCTTCAGCTCATTTCTAGGAGCAGTGGCAGCCTATTTTTAGAACACTGTAAAGCGTTCCTCTGAGAAACACCTCTGCTTCTATTTTGAAATAAGAGAGAAAGGAAGGCAGAATGATGAAAGCACCGGACTGTGACCTGCATACATATTCCAGCTGGGTGCCTTCTGTGGGGTGTCGCAAGTGCTTTACAACTCAATCCTATATGTCTACTCAGAAGTAAATCCCATTTAGTTTAATGGGATTTATTTGCAGGTATGTGTGCATAGGATTGCAGCCTAAATCTCTCAGTTACTCTTGGGAAATGGACTTGCATTCCTTCTCTCCTGTTTGCGAACTGAAGGTCATCTTCAATTGTCTATAGTATTTTATTTATTAAATTTATATCCCGCTTTTTTCTTATGAACTCAAAGTGACTTAACACCATTTTCCACCTCCTGTTCTCAATCTTATTTCTACAACAGCACTGTGAGGTAGGTTGGGCTGAGAGTCTGTGACTGGTCCAAAGTCACCCGGTTGGCTCCATGGCCAGGTGGGAACTAGAACTCAGGTCACCTGAGTCTAAGGTCCACACTCTTAACCACTACTCCATACTTGTATTTTAATGCACAGACTGCTTACGCAGCCCTCATACTCACTCCTCTCCCCATTACCATCCTGATTCTGTGATACGGGGATAGTACACAGCCTATTTTACAAGGTTATTGTTGTAAGGGCTACTGGCATAAGGCACAAGACTCAGTATGAATACTTGCAATGTGCCAGGTAAGTGCTAAGGAAGAGGAGGCGGAGATTACCATTACTCTTATCTCATTTATCCCCACAACAATCTTTTGCTGGAAAATACCTGAACAATAAACATGGCCTAGTCTAAAATGGGTGCTCTCTGTGTTGTGATCATTCCAACTATGTGTGTAGGGGCCATGGCTCCAAGGAGGGCTGGGAAAGAACCCTGCCTGAAATCCTGTAGAACTGCTGCCAGTCACTGTCAACATTACTGGACTAGATGGTCTGATTTAATATAAGGCAGCCCCATATATTCCTGCATGGGGTTATTTACATTTTATATTTAACCCGGGAAATTCCTGTTTTCAGTCTTAATTTCTGTTTTTTCTTCCTTCTTTTGCCAGAGAAACCTTAACATTAGAATTTCTTGAAGAACAACATCTTCAAACTTTCCTGTAAGTAACAAATTGAAGAGTGACGTCATCAGAGCACTCTTGATGAGTAATCACTCTTCTTGACCATGATTTTATTTAATTTTTTTACTTGCTTATTTGTATTTTTTAAACCTTTCCAGCAGAGTAAAATGAAAGTAAAATGCACAACATGGTATAAATTATTTTATTTTTGCATGATGGCTTGAGCCAGTTCAAACAAATTCATTTATGCCACTTCTAGAAAACTCAAGAATGGACATGGGAAAGACTCCAAGGGAAGAGTGCCCTTTTTATGCCCCCTGAACTAAGATGGGACAGCTAAGAGGAAGCAGTCAACTGCTCTTGTGCAAGTGGATGCCATTTTAAACTCTTAGTTTGAGTACTGGTCACCTTAGTTTGAAACTGCTTTTGTTTCAGACATTTTGCATTGAAGACATGGATCATTCCATGCATGCCGTTGCATTATTTAACTATGAGAATGTTCATGGGTGTGTGCTACAAAATGCCTATTACTCATACAGTTATCAAAACAATACATTCTCAGTATACCTCTGACTTTATCTGCTTGACCAGTCAACATAGCCTTGTTTGCACACATGTTCCTGATTCATACTTTAAGAACAGAGGTAGGTGCTATTGAGCCATCCTATCCAATTCAGCTTCACTGAATTTGGTGGAGCTTTACTCCAGGTAAATAGGTACAGGATTACAGCCTAAATTTGGAAAAAGTGAAGTCTGATAGGACTTCTGTTCCCACCCATCATTAGAAAAGTTAAGCTTGTTTTCATGTTCAAAAACAATTACACACACACAAATCACCAATGTCTCCCACTTTCAGATGCAGCGTCCATCTGACAAAAATATTGCTTTTTTAAGCTCAGTTATGTCTTACACATTTTAAAAGGTAAACATCACATTTTGGCAAGTTCATAAAGTACTTAATAGGATCTTAGCTGATTTAAGAACAACTGGTTTGTTATTGGGCTAACAAAAGTTCCCTAATGGGAAATACAGCCCCAATAACAAACATGATAATTATTAAAATTATCATTAAAAAAGGTTTGTGATGATGGTGCTTTGAAATGGAGAACTGCTCATGCTACCAGTCACAAGACCATGCACAGCTTTTTCTTCTTTCCTCTTAACTTTGTGCATATACATGCATATATAAAGAAAAGGGACAGAAGAAGTGGTGGGAAGGCATGGGAGGGTTTCAAATGGAAGGCAATGCTATCTGGACCTCCCTAAAAATCTGTGAAAGAAGCAGAATGATAACACAGTAACAGCTTTGTTTAGAAGCACTGAAAGAATTCCCAAATGCAGTTGCTGCTTAGATCCCAATTCTGAAAACAAGCAGTATTAACCTGACTGGTGCTTGCAATGTTCCTTCAGGCATTTTTGCCCCTCCTTCATATTAACTGCTACACAAAGAGTTAGTAAAACAAGCTTCTGAATAATGATTTTCTGACATCAAGAAAACCCTGGCTTGCAATGGGGACCCAACTGCTGTTTTTGCCTGTCGTGTATTCACATTCCCCTGCACATACCTTTTACAAACGTTCCAACTGTTTGAACAACCCCCAGTGGCTTTCTGTGCCAGATGATATAAGACAATTTCATTTACCACACCTAATTCTCTGTCAGACATTCCAAGTCTGAATTCTTGTTAACCATATGAGATTCTGCCCTCTTTCTCATAGAAGTCCTTTCCCACAAAATAGAGACAGTTCTTTTTTCTTCTTTTTATGCTCACTTACTGCTGTTTGATTGGTTTATTCTTTTTATGCTCACTTATTGCAGTTTGATTGGTTTATTCACTCACTCAGTCTGCCTGTTTTACCAACAGAGTATAATTCAAGTTTAACCACAAATTCTATCCACTCTTTGCCACTTACCGTGAAGTTTTAAAGTCCAGATTGAGAAAAATCCTTGCTGGGAGCAGCTGTGACCTTCAGCCTGGCACCTTCTGTCACCGGCCTCTCTGCATACGAAAGCAAGGTTTTACCAAGATATTGTTTACTTAGTTTCCAGAGTCACAGCAAACATGATTTAAAGCAACAGGTCTCTTTTATTCAGATAAGTTAATGCAAACATAATGCCAAGTGTCATTTGTGCTGCTTGAAGACTTACGCAAGCCAAACACCCATTGAAAAAATGTCTGGGTGAGTGCCTGAAAGTGTTGGATTGACACGTGAGAGCTGCAGAACAGCTGAGTCAAGGAGTAAAGTGGGGTAGTGTGTATGTTAAAGCTACTTACTCGTAGCTTAATGCAAAGTTATTGCTATTTTTGCTTTGCTTGGTCCAGATTCTTTGCCATTTAAAAAAAAAAATCACCCCAGGGAAATTGGCATTGACAGAGCCTCAGGATTTCCAGCTCAGGTTTTTAGAAATCATCAACCAAGTTACTGAACACTGCAAGTCAAGAGATTAATTTGATGTTTGGTTTGTGTGTGTGTTTTGTGCATGTAGGCTGAATGGAAGAGGAATGTGACTGGTGCCTATACTGAGCACACTGAGCACTGGTCGCGCTTTTCAAATCCACAGCATAACATAGGTTGTTGTTGTTGCAGCACTGACACGAATGATGTTGCACTTGCACAAATCAGAGCTAGCATGATGTAATGCCAGTTTTTCTCTTCGTACTACCAAGTGCCAGTGACATTCTGATTGCAAAAGTAAAACTCAGCACAATATAACGGGCGCTAGCACTGCAACATCGGTGGATCCTACCCATAACATTCTTTGCTAGCCATACCTGCATTTCCTATGAGCATAATGTAATGCTGCTGTTCAGAAATTATGCCCGGCATACTAATGCAACAGAGTAAACATTATGCTGGTTATTTATTAGTCAGAGATTTACAACATAGGTGTCCTGGTCATTCTTTTCCTCCTCCTTCCAGCAGACTCAGTGTAGCATAGTGATGAGACAACTCAGGAGATCAAGGTTCTAGTCCCTGCTGAGCCATGAAACTCACCGGGTGACTTTGGCCAGCCACTGCCTCTCAGCCTAGCCTACCTCACAGGGTTGTTGTTATGAGGATAAAAATGGACTGGGGGAGAGCTATGTAACCTGGGTTCTCTGTAACTTGGGTTCCTCACAAGAGGAAAAGAACATGATATTAATGAAATGTAATCATAATAAAAGTCTTTATTGATGCTGGCCATCCAGGCTTCCTTTAGGGAACAAAGATTATTGCAGAAGTAAATTACAAAAGAAACAGTTGGAGTCCTGGGCATCGGAGAAAAACAGCTTGGTGAGAAGTTGATTCCAAACTGAATAACGACCAGACCAAACCAGGCCTTCATGCTGGATCCTGCAGCATAAGGGCCAACTGGCTGAAGCATCTGATGCTTCTCTGCAAATTCATTCTCTTGACCGGATACCAGACAATGGGTCAGGTCTTGCTTGGTTTGCCCCCCTCACCTTCACATGCTCACTCAGCTTTCCCTCTGTATTTGAAACTGCCTGATTCTCAACAAGTAAGGAATTATCACTGAGTTCTCTGGCCTTGGCATTTCAGCTGCAAATTCTACTCTCTTCTCTTCTGACTCAGATCTGGTTCCACAACTCTAAAAGGCTTTTCTGTAGGAAGAATGGGCCCAATCCCTACCACAGAAAGAGTGGGAGAAAAAAGCCAAATTTCTTAATGTACCCAGTGGAATAGGATGCATTATAGAACTAACTGTTTCCATTATTAGTCTGCTTCTAGAGACACTTCCCAACATTTGACATCTTTGCCTCTGCCCACTTCTTTCAGTTTGAACCTACCTATGCCTCTTTCGTAAGAGGTGACACTACACACTGAATACAGTTTTTTAAATGCGTGCCTCATTGTTCAATATGCTGTCATTATATTATGTTCTGGATTATTTCTGAATCCCTTTATTAGTGCACCCACACATATTATTTGCATTCTTATAACAAAAAAATCAGTGCATCCACCATGATGTAAGAACAGTGCAGTAACAAATGCAGAGCAAGGGATGCTGAAGGTCTTGATTCTGCCCTCACTCACTTGCAGCTCCAAATGACTCATTCCAGATTTATGCCAATGAAGCAAGTGGGGAGTCAGGCCCACAGCAGAAAGCTTTTCATTAGCTTAAGAAACAGTTTAACACTAATTACAGCATTTAGCATGTTACTCTTTTACAAGAAAGGTGCATTGTTGACAGGGTTGGGGGATGATTTATGCTGTCAGTGATCTTCCAAGGGAAATCACTGAGTCTCCATAAACTCTTGTTGCTCATTTCCTTTTGTAAACAAGGCAAGGAGATTAAAACTCACTTCAACTCTTTAATGGTTTATTAGATGAAGATAAATGGACATTTCTATATTTATTCAATGCCATTGTTGGTGTTCCCAGGTCTGTCTGCAAGGGTTTGCAAGTACAGTTGCCCTCTTGCTGTCAGTGACCATTATCAGGAGTAGCGAATTTGTGGCTCTCCAGGTGTTGTTGGCCTCAGACTCCTACCAGCTCCAGCCTAGTCAAGGATGATCAACGGCCATCCTGAAGTCTAATCTTCAGAGGGCTACAGGTTCCCTTCCCCTGTTGTTACCCATGCTGGACCCATTTGTCCTTCCTTACTTGTGAGGATACATAATGCTCTTGCATACTTCTGAATAGACACACAGAGGCTTGATGTTTGGGATACTTTTGAGGCCAAGTTATTTTCTGCTTAATTCTGAGAAGACATGCAAAGGCTTGTCCTGCTTACTTGTGAGTAATCCTGCTGTACATGCTTACTTCTGAGTAGACATCCTTTCTTTTAAAATTGGTGACAATGGAATAGGTGGTGGTGGTGGTGGTGGTGGTGGTAGGTTTTTCAGCCTTATCTATTTTGCTCTTGGGCTTGCCCATCAGTGGAATGTGGTTTTCAAGAGTTTCTGTGAAGTGCAATTTATCCCACAGACTGAAAGAGTTTCTTTGTCCTTGCTGTAAATCTAGGATGAGCAACTTAAAGGCTCTCAGATATTTTGACCTACAGCTCCCATCAAGCACAACCAGTATAACCAATGGTGAGGCATAATGGGAGTTGCAGGCCATATCATCAGGGGAAGGCATGGCTAAGTTTTCTATCTCTGCTGTAAACTATCCCAAGGTTAGATTTCATGTAGGGATGGTTGCAAATGTGGGGGTTTTGTTCCTGAGTATATGTTCTACATATAGAGCCAGGTTTGTATCTGGAAACATTGCCTTTTTGCCTAGCAATTACAAATCTCATTTTGAAGAACCTGTGAATTCTCTGCTCTTACTTTAAGAGACTCATTCTTCACAGACCTTCCCCACAGTGCCCTGTCCTTACTCTATCTGGATTTATAAACATTATAGTCAATAGTGATGGGAGCAGCAGCATTACCTGAGCAGGTGTTGCTTATAATTAATCCATTACTTATACTGGAGAATCATGGCAAGATGTTGCATGTCAGAAGCCCCTGGAGAGGGAAAACAGGCAAATGTCTTGGCCCGTAGGACACTATCCCAGAGACCATAGAATTGCAGTCTTATGTAGGTATATGATTTAGTCCTTTTTTCTTATGAAGGGAAAGATTAAAACTAGTCACACCAGGACTACATCAAACAAACCTTGCATTATATACACACTTTCAGCTCAGAAGGAGGCCCTGAACTGTTTTATCATTTAGACCTTACAAAATTAAAAGCTTAAATCATCACACATAGCAAAACAAGGTATAAAAACAAAGCAGAGCAAATACATTAAAATGATTAATAAGCTACAAGGAACAAAAGCCTTAACTGTAGCTAAAATGATGGGGCAGGCTAACTAATATAAAGTCTTAGATGACTTAGGAAAGAAAGATGATTTCACCTGAAAAGAAATATGATGCTAGTCTCACTTTGTGTGCTATGGATAGGGAATTCTGGAGTGGAGGTGCCACCATAGAGAAGGTTGTTCTTTGTTGCAACACAGTATATTTCTGCTAAGAAGAGCTCACCAAAGAGATACACAACCAGGGAGATCAGTAACAATAGCAAAAACAAACAAGTCTCCTGTGAAATCACCCAAGGATACTTTGAAACAGCTAAGACAAATGATTTTTTCTAGTTTATGGTACAACTATAAAATAGCAAAACAGAAAATAGTCTTGCAGGAAATTTCAATCATTAACGGAACTGTTTTCCTTGCTTTATTCAAGTTATTTATTACAGATGCACATGAGAGCACTAATGGCTCCCAATATGACTTAAAATGCTTTTTAGCATATTTTAAGAATTGGTTATTCCCAGTGGTACTTAATATATGAAAAAAATTGGAAGAGAGGATGTTTTATATTAAACTATAGATTTTGTTCATAAGGCTCCCCATAGAAACAGCATTTGTCCAAAAAATCTGGGTTTATGACATGGCTCACATGACAAAACATTAGCCATGGTTTTATTTATGTGTGTGTGTGTATGTTGCTTCTTGCAGGGCAACAAACCATCCTAACAACCCATGGCTTGTTCTGCACCATCTTCAACCAACAGGTCCTATAATCCAGACCTGTAAAATTGAGTCTGTCATGGCTTACAGGAATCAGCTGCTTAGTAAGAGCAAGGAAAACCTCTGCCACATGTCACAATCTCACCAGTACTGCAACTAGTGACAGGTTCAAGCTGTACTTCAAAGAGTACATCACATGAAGAAGAGTACAACTTCAAAGAGGCCATCACTAGGAGGTGGGGCCCTGAGGATTGCAAAATTTTCTTCTTTCCTTTATTACTTACAGAGCTGGCAATGGTACAGAAAATAGCCTATAGGTAGTCTTGCCTTGCCAATTTTACGTATGTTACCTACTATACCGTGTCTTGTGAAAACTGCAACTTACAAGGCAGAACACCTTATATCATACCACTGCAAGTGCGTACTTGTGTAGCTGGAAAAGATTAACATTTTTAAAAAATCTGAACACACATGTAAATTTTCCAGGTGTCAAAAATAAATATGATTTTAATTGTGATTGTTTGAAGCTTCTAGCCCTCCCCTGCAACCCCCAGTA